TTGGTTCTAGAGCTCTGAGGAAGAGGGAGGGAGGAAGAGACATTCACTGGGCACCTATGGCATACCTGGCTCTGTGCCAGGGGCTATGTTAAGCAGTTTTCTCACATGATCACATGACACAGGTATGATGATGCCCTTTACAGATGAGACACCAGACTCGGAGGGAGGACATCAGGCCAGTTGACCAGCTACTACGCAACAAAGCCGGATGCAAAGCCACGTCGCTCCTACTCCAAAGCCATTTTCTTTTTCTCCAGGGAGCTTTTGTTGAGCTCTGATTTATTTGGTACCTACTACATATCGGGGCTCTGCTAGGGGCCGAGAGAGTGAGGAAGGACAGAGAGTACAGCCCAGAGGGACTGGGGGCAGGTTACAGGCAGGTTACAGGCAGGTGTGACACACCTGTTACACTGGGCCTTGCTTACTGCCAGTTTGCATGACTTCAGTATAAGTCAAAATAAATAAATAACAATGAAAAAACGAGTTTCTGTGTAAACTGGGAGTCCCCAACAGGACACCTGCGGCCCTCCCTGGTCTGGTCCCCGCCTACTTCCCCAGCCTCGGGCCCCTCACCCCCACTGGGCCCCTCAAGGCCTCCCACGCTGAGAGCCAAGAACGCTCTTCCATCCTTCCCTACGCCCTTCACCAAGCGCACCTTCCTCCTTCAGGCAGCTTCACTGAGCCCTCCCAGACCAGGAGGCTGTGCCTCCCCCTGGGTTCCCAGAGCACGTGTGTCCTGCTGGGGGTCCCGTCCTCACACGCCTGAGCCCAGGGCTGCGAGTGCCTCTTCATTCATTGTGGCTCCTACCACACTGTGCCCGCCCTGACGCCAAGGGCCGGGTCTATCCACCTTTGCACCCCCTGCACCAGCACAGCACCCGGCACAGAGCTGGCAGAGGACGCCCTGAGTTCCTGGGCTCAGCCCTGGGCCTGCTCTCTGCTCCCTGATGGCTCCCACTCAGTGGCCTCATCCTCCCTGACTTCAGCACGTCTGGGTGGCCTCGGCGCCCCAGGGATAAGCACTAGCTTCCTCTGGTGGCCCGGGCAAGGCAGCACAGCGAGGCACGGGCCCAAATGGACCACAGATCCAGGGTGGCTCCAGGACCCTCTCCTGAATGCAACAAAGAGAGGTACAGAGATTCCCAAAAAGAAATGCTCAGCCTGTCACCACCCCCTACGTCACTTTTTGAAGAAAACAACCCAACAGCTTATTCTTGAGAGCACCTGAGAAGAGCAGTTCCGCTCAAATCTTACCTTGAAGGTTTTATCCATAGAAGCTGAGAGAAGCATGTGGCTCTTGGAAAAGACTGGACACCACTGAATGCTGTTGACCGGGCCCCTGTGGCCTCTTAGGTGGAAGAGCACCTTCCTGGGAATCTCGGTTTCTTTATACTGAGTGTCCAAATATGGCTGAATAAACTCGGACACTCGGGGGGCCACACAGAGAGGGGCCGGGGCCTGCCCTGCAGAGGGACCCTGCGTCCCCACGTCTTTACTCTTGCCTGTCTCTGTGCTTAATGCTTGCGGCTCTCTTAGTCTTTTGGGGGTATAGGGTACAATACAGTCCTCACGCCTTTTCCTCTGAAGAGAGTTGCCATTGTGACCCGGGGTTTCAGATTTGGTTTGGGCACAGAAAGATGGCTCGGGGAAGTTGTGCATTCCCCGGGAGAGTTTCACCTGCTTAAAGCGGGCAGCTGCCACGGACATGTGGCCAGCCAGAGCGTGGCCAGCCCACAGGGAAGAATGAGGATGCTCGCTTGTCGGGCAGGTGACTTCAGGCTCCGTCCTGGGCCACTGCAGCCTCTGGCTGGGGCAAGATCCTGGGTCACTCCTCCAGAGCCGAGCCAGGGGGAGACGCTGGCCGGCTGGGTCTTCACAAGAACTGTGCTTTGTGGGCAGTGCTCCACCTTCCGACACGTCCAGGACTCTGGATGGGAAATCCCGCCCACAAGGTCTGACCACATCAGAAGTGTCTTTCATCTGGCCAGCTGCAGTAAAACCTCCCACGGGCTCAGTCTCAGCCTCTGAGTCTGAATCATCATAAGCCACCAACGAAGCCATTGCAAACACAGCTTCTTGATGTCCTTCGAGGACAGACTACCTAAGACCAAACAAAGTCAGGTGTCAGAAAATGTGCATGGGAGAATATTTACCACTAAACATGCCACCTAGCAAATCTAAGATGGAAATCTCATAAGAATAAACACATAAAATACGAGGGCTTTTCTATACACCAGGCATAATTAGTCAGAAGATGTCTTTTTTTTTTTAAATGAAAACTATGGAATATCTGGGAATAAATTTAACAAAAATACTAATAACAAGCAAGACCTATATGAAGAAAACTAAAGCTTTACTGAAAGACATAAAGGAGAACCTGACTAAATGCAGACACAATGCCTGAACAGAAGAAGCCTTTTGGAAGGTCAATTTGGGGAGTATCTATTACAAATACAAACACATAAAGTTTTTACTGCAACAATCTCACTTTAGAACTGTATCCTACACCAACACTAGCACATGTTTTCAAAGGTAGATGTACAAAGAGAGCCTGCGGCCCTGTTTATTAATCATACACTCATCATCAGGGATGAGGCTGGTCTGAAAACACTGAGATGGAAAGACGTCCAGAATCCACCAACTGGGAAAAGTGCGCCACCCTCACCTTAGCCCTCCCTAGTGCTCGGGTCCTTAATTTCTATTCCCTCTGCAAAGAATAACCCCCATTTGGACTAGAAGCCAGACCCCTGGAAAGACACACCCACAACATGGGGCCAGGATCCCTGAGGCATCATCCGTCACCACCAATCCTGAGGGTATGATCCAAATCTGCCTGTTTCACTTCTAACACAGACTCGCACAGCAGTGAATTTCCTCTTTCTAAAAAATTCTTCCTGAAAATTCTGAACCATCATACATGATAAATTGTAGCCAACTAGTTTCTAGAAAGAAATTTTCAGTCTGAAGTTCAGTTCTGTGCTGTTAACATCATGTATGGTCCAGAGGAAAACAAGGCTGCCAGGCACATCCCAGACAGCAGGGGGCATGGTGGAGCAGCACGGAAAGCTTACGAGAGGACCAACTGGAGAAAGCCCAGCGTGCCCTCTGGAAAACACCATGCTGAGCTCCTCCTCCCGAATGTGGGGTCAGGCCAGCACCAGAAGATTCCCTCTGCGACATGTTAAGCCATTCCAGGCAGCCTGTCTAAAACCCAGCTCTTCCCCTAGACAGTGGGCCTCACGTCGCCTGGAACCAAACACCCCACCCCTTCCACACCTTTTCCCCCAAAGGGCGCCATTCACCTGAAGAGCTCCATTGCCAAACAAGCTAAGGTCATCTGCCTCCTCCCAAAACCCCACCCCCACCTGCAGCCTACACGCAAAGCCATCGTCTAAATAAAACATCTACAAGGAGCCAGGCCATCTCAAATGGAACTAATACAATGGACTAACTATAAATTAATGGCACTGAGCACTGTGAATGATTTGGCATTTCTGTTCTCTAAATACTTAGCCTGATCCTGAGGCCCATCCTAAGCAGGTATCTCACCTGCCTCAACTCCTGTGCACAGCAGCCCACTACTTCCTGTCAAAGGTTCCCACCACCAGGACACCACTAGGATGGACTCCCACCCCCAGTGCCTGACTCACAGGAGAGGCTGACGGCCAGAATTAAAGATGAGGCCCACGGCAAAAAAATCAGAGTAGCGGGATTCCTAACAGGGCAAGGCAGCAAAGGCTGGATGAACAAAGGCGGGTGGGCGACAGGGCTCCTGATAGTATCTGCTTCGTGTACATTTCGTTCACTTATTTGACAAACATTGATGGAGAATCGGCAAGACCACACGAGGCACCAGGAACACCACAGCGACAGTAAACCATGCCCTGCCCTCACCATGCTCACATGCCAGTGGGGACAGACCACCATCAAGTGAAACAGGGAATGCCAGTTGGTGAGAAAGCCTAAGGAGAACAGTAAAACGGAGAGGAGAGTAGGGGTGGCGATGAGCTTGGGGTTGCAGTTTCATATAGGGAGCCCGAGGCAGGCCGAAGGCGGAAGGTGACATCTAGGTGACGCTCCGGCAGGTGAGGGAGCAGAGGTGGTGAGAAGCACTGGAGCTGGAACGAACAAATCTAATCAAATGGGTGAGAGAGGGGGCCAGGATGGCTCAAGCAAACAGGCAAAACGGGGAGTCACTGGGACCATCATAAATTTTAGAGGGGAAAAAAGTGTTTTCTGCCATTTTGTTTCTAAGGAAAAAGGGGGTTAAATTTTTTTTTTTCATGTAAAGAGGGGAGGGTGATTAAACTAAGAGGAAATGGTACAGCTGGAAGGAAGGTGAAGTCATCCGAGAAATGAGGCTACGGAAGGGGGTGTGGCAATGACAGTCACACGAGGGCAGGACTTTTTGTGTCTTGTTCACTGTTTGATCCCCCGCAGCTGGTGGAAGGGGGGCACAGGGAAAGTAAAAGAAATAGAGTCTTCTCATTCAACAAACATTTCCTCACTACCCACTCTGTGCCAAGCTTTATGTTGGGTCAGATGTGGACAGAGATTAAATACAAACACGGGTCCAGAGGCCACAGACTAACCAAGGCAACAAACAAGATACGACCAGAGATGGGGTTTGAAGGATGAATAGGAGTTAGCCGAGCTGCCACGAGCGAGAGGTGAGGATGGTTCGGAGCACTACGCGTTCGGAAGGAACCGAAGATGAAGGACAGGCGAGCGGCAGTGAAACGCCCGCGCAAAGGAGCGCGGAGCGCTCGGGCCGCTGCCGGGTGCCAGCCCCCTCCCGCCCCAGGCCCGCCGCTCACCACACGCACCGGAAGCGCTCGGTCCTCCCAGAGCTGGTCCGGCCTGCGCTCCGCCTCCTAGTCGCGTTCCGCCGGCGCCCCGGGCAGCCAACCAATCAGTGGTGGCCTCCGTCCCGCCCCCTCGTGAACAGCCAATGAGAAGGCAGTATTTCCGGAAGTTGTTCCGGCCGGACGGCGTTTCCACGGACGCCCTGGAGACCCCACCTTACCCCACCCCCTCAAGTGGCTGAACCTGCAGTGCTGACAGGCCCGCATGGGCCGGTAAGTGAGGGAATGAGGGAGGGAGGGAGGTTGGGGCGGCGCCCGATGACCTGGCCCTCCCGGAGCCGCCTTCACTCCGGGGTCCGGATTATCCTCCTCAGGCGGATACCCGCTGCTTGCCGGGCTCTGGCACCTCGAGGGGCGCGGAGGCTGCCACCGCGCTGCTCGACCCCAGCTGTCTCCCACTCCCGCCGGCACCGACCCTTCATGGTCTCCCACCTCTTCCCTTTCCTCAAGTGCCTGCCATGTGCTGGGGGCTTTGTCTATAGTACCGCACTTAGTTACCCCACTGTAAAGTTAGGAGGCTCCTTTATGCCCATATCACAGATCAGGAAACTGAGGATGAAGCAGAGAGGTAATCTGACTTGCCCAAGGTCTTGAAACAAGAAAATGCCCAGGTTGGAATTGAAATCCAGGTCTGTCTGACCCCAGAGCTCCTGCTCTTTCCACTGCACTGCGCCGCCTCGGTGCACAATCGCCGCAGCGAATTTACAGTCCCCCCTTCCCACCCCCCACAATTATACATTAACAGCTGCTCATACGGATGCTGAGGGTGTGAAACGGGAAGAGGGCGGGAGGTTATATGGAGGCCGTCCTAGGGTATGGGTTGGCTGATGCAATGACCAGCAAGGGTTGGATTCTCAAGAAGGTTACTGTGGTCTCCCAGTACCGCCACCCAGCCCATCCCTGATTGGACAGACTCATCAAGGAGGTTAGTCAAGAGGCACAACTGTTTGCGAGAAACTGGGTCATTTCTAAGAAACCCCTGCTGCAAAAAGCTGAAGGGTGAGGCAAACAGAAAGAAAAGAGAAGAGCCTTTCATGAAAAGGAAAGTGAAAGAAGCAAGGGGACACTACAAAAGAAGACCCCTGCTGCACCGGCCGGCATTCTCAGGACTGCCGCAGCCTCTGCAGTGTCTCCCACGCCTGGGTATGTATTGCCATCTTTCGTTGGGCTTAGAGCTTATTAGTATTTTTACCAGCCTTTTACCAAAGTGTTGGAAACCTTGGCTCAGGGCAAGAGGGCTTGTCTCTCAGGATCGGGCTATTGTGCATTTCATTTCACCCCGTTGACCTAAAGTTCAGAGGATTCACAGCTTCTTTAGGGAGTAGAGATACTGGGTGAGCAGTTGCCTGATTGGATTCACAGCTTGACTTTCAGCACCTTCATGTCGGCTGTCGTATTTGTCACGAATGAGGCCTCCTTAAATAGCCAACACCCAAACAGCATTCTCATTACGATGCTCAAAAGTACCTTATTATGCCTGGCTTTATACAGGCTAACATCATCTTTGCCTTTTAAGATATTGTTCATTTTATTATTTGGAGAGTAAAACAACCGCTCCTCTCCGTGTTTACAAAAGGAAAAGTGAACATAATCTGTTCCAAGGTTTGCAGTGTTAAAGAACTTCTTGTCATGCTCTTGTCTGTGGGAACTTCACAGTCCAAGGCCATTGTCACCTAGGCTCTGGGGCCAGGATGTGAAGGATGGTGTCCTACTTCCTGGTGGTGTTCCAGGCTTTCAGACGCGTGGGTCACCTTCTCAGTTGTTTCTAGCTGCTCCAGAATTGGCTATTTTAACGGCACCCTTGAAGAATTGGTGTATTCTGATCTTATCTGTGAGATGATTTTAGTATGGCCCAAGTCATGGTCATGCTCTTCTGTTGAACAGTTCCATAATTCTTTTCAACCCCAAACTGTATCCAGTTTCGTTCCTGTTATGTTCCTTCAGAACAATGGACCCTTTCAAAGTGAGCACAAGATTCACGTTCTTGAAAAAAGAGGAAATCAGCGTTAATTTTTAAGAGCCTTTTAGTTTTCTCTTTAATATGTGCTGTGATCTGCTGGTGAGTAGCGATTTAGCTCTTTATTCTCCCGGTACTTTTTGTAGCGGGGTAATAGATGACTTCACAGGTTATGGCTTCATTTCTTTGTGGTAGATGATAGTATTTGTTAAATAGATAAAGCAGCTTCCCTTAACAAAGATTCAAAGCCCTATTTGCTGTCAATGCGGTTAACACTTAAGACAATGGTTTTTAACCTTTTGGCATCTCAGACCCCTTTGAAAAAGTAATGAAACCTGGGTACTCTGCTTAGAACCATGTACATACCAATGTGCATGCAAACTAGCGACATAATTCTAGAGGCTCTGAACTCTGGGTTAAAAACCTCCGAAGTTAAATTTACTTCTAAAAGTTAGCTAACAAATGGAGGATGTCGACTAGATGGGAGAAACAAGGGTAAATGGATGGATGCCTGAAATGATAGTTCTGTTCTCCTTGTCTCTGATCATTCTTGGTGTAATCACTCAAGAAGTTGCATTATAGACACACATGCACACAGAGACAAGATTGATCGTGTGGGTGATTCCCACGCAATGTCTGCCTGTGATCACAAGACCAGAGAGACCTCATCTGTTCCAACGGTCAGATTTAGTTCCCATGTGCCTCTTTTTAAATGGGATTCTGATATTTAAAGATACATGTTTTTTCCTACAACAAGGACCCTAAATGCAAGCCAAATTTGTCTGGTTGGTCATCTAGTTATCTGCTCCATTTCAAGGGAAGGTTGGCTGTCCAGGGATCACCCAGTCATTCTACCTGGCACTTTTCTTAGGAATTTTTAAGGGTAATTTTAATCTGTATTTGATGTTGGTCTTACTCATAGATTTCAGAACCTTCCTGATAATGTTGGTGAGATGCTGTAGGAACTTAACTCTTGTTTATATCAATTCGCCGATGGTGAAATTGGTTTTGTTTCACTTAAAGTCACAAAACCTATCCGACATTAAGTGAGGATGTATTGAACTGTAATGTAACACCTAGCTTTGAAACTTGGGAGAATTCGGGATCGTGTGTAAAGTATCTGGGCATGATACTTGATCATTTGTGGCTAGAAGTAATTTTCATCACTTTAAATGTTATTTGATATAACATTTATGAAATAAGTGAGTGTTTCTCCTTTCCAGTGCTGGTCAGAAGGTTCTTCCATGTCTGTCCTCTTTTACCAGCGTCCCTAAACTGAGCTTTGTTATCCCTTTCTGGGAAATGAGTTGGCTCCCAGCAAGGAGGGGAAAGAAACTGGCTGCTGTCCTAGTCATGTTTCAGTATTACTGTCTCTTCGGCTTTAAACAAATATTTAACAGTGGATAAACAAAAGTAAATTACCCCTCCAATTTGTGTGTTTGGTTCATAGAGTTACTAGATAAAAACTTTTAAACAAAACAGTCACTCGTTAAACCTCAGCCGTGGGGCTGATGCTGTGCTAGATTGTTTCCTTACCTGTATCACCGCATGTAAGCCAGGCAGCTTTCCTGCAAGTTAGTGTTGTCATGGTTATTCCCGTTTTCCAGTTGACAGGCTGAGGCTCCTTACTGTTAGGTAACCTGTAGGATAATGTTTGAGAGTGTAGGCTCTAGGGTCAAACTGCTTGAGCTTGTATCCCATCCCTACCACTTGCTGTGTTATCTTGGGCAAGTTATTTAACCTCTCTGTGCCTCAATTTACTCGTCTGTGAAATAGAGCTAACAAATCTATCTCATAGGATTGCTGTAAGGCTTAAGTGAATGGATATGTAAAAGGCGCTTAGAGCAATACCAGCTACAGAGTGCTGGACGGTAGCTGCTCTGTCGTAGCCTCACTGTCGGCGTCATCCTCCTCACTGAAGGTATACAGGTCGCAGCAAGTTGTAGCTGGAACTGGAGGTCAGCTGAGCTCTGGAGCCCTCACAAACAATACTCAGAATGGACTAAGCTCGTGCTTTATAGTTTATGAAATGCTACCATGTCGTTTTTTTCTCATGTTTTCTCATCACAGCCCTTGAGGTAGGTTCCTGATGGTATCACTTTATAGATGAGCAAGCTGACATTCAGAAAGGGGAAGTGACTGACCCAAGAGGGGACCGATTGTGGCCAGTCTTCACCCCAAAGCAGCATCAGATGGCCTGCCCTGTGTCCCACCTTTCAAGTTAATAGTAAATAATGACAAACAGAAGGTACAGGTAGGCACACCTTCAAAGGTTTGCGGTTAAATAAGGAAGCATGTCCCATGGACAGGCCATATATAGTGCTTACCTCGTTTGGAATCCCGATGGATAAGGCCCTGCTCTCTACCCCAGACTTGCTTCATCTGAGAACAGAGCAGCTGGCCAGCCAAGGAAGCCATTTGTTCAACGGTATGTTGATTATAGCAGCAAAGGTCTGGGAGTTCGTCCCCAACACAATTAAAGAGTAAATAGCAATCTGCCTAATGTGTTTAGCTGTGGTGAACTTAGGGTTATTAAAGCACTAACACGAGTTCTCTATGTCCTGGACCCCGGGCAAGGCACCGCGCACATGAGCAGGTACACGCTTGGTCTTGGTCAGCAGGGGGCCTCCTCTGCAGTCCTTACGTTTATACATCTGAGCAATTCCTTTAGTCCCCATCTTTGGCATTGGTTCTTCCTCTTTTCCCGTTTTTCATCGCCCCAAACTTCTGCTTATATTTTTATTAATGTCATTTTATCCATGCTCTTTATTATAACTCACCTCCAACCTTTTGGGAACGAAGAAGAACTAGATACAGGAAAGGAAAAACAGCTGCGATCGTTTGTTAATTCTCTCTCTCTCTTTCCCTCTCTCCCCTCTATCTCCTCTCTCCCTCTATTCTCCCCCACAGTTCATCCGGACCGCTGAGCACCTCTTCCAACGCCCCGCTGTGAACCTAGGTCCTGGAAGATGGCAGATGTGCCCAACGGCGAGCAGGGGTGCGCCTCCCCACTGGAGCTGTTCAACAGCATAGCGGCTCAAGGGGAACGCGTGAGAGCCCTCAAGGCCGGGAAGGCATCGCAGGTGTGTGATCTCACTGGCTTCTCCACACGTACGTCCAGCCCAGTCTGTCGGGTACTGTTGCCCGGGAGCAGACTACTCCCTCAATAGCTGACATGTTTTGGGTATAATCTTACATGTGTTCCCTCCTCTATCAACATTATTGATGCATGTGGTCTAAAGAAAAGCCCCATAAATGCAGCCGTCACCCACCTCACCCCTCCCATTCCTGCTCCCAGAAACAGCTACTTTCACTTATTTTAGCTGATTTTTTAATGTGTATCCCCATATCTCTAAAAGTCACGCTTACTATATTGCTCCTTGTTGACTTTCAAGTTCAAGGCTTTCACTGTGGCACTCCCCAGCCCTCCAGTCTCCTGGTACCTGTCACCATTTCCTTCGGTCGATACTAGCACTGGGTTCATTGTGACCATGTAAACCCTACTACACCTGACCCATTGAGTGTAGTGTGAGTGCTTTTCCTTTCCTGCCCAACTTTTGTTTTCTTCTGGAGTTGATATTTGTCTTAATTTCTCTTTGCTTGGCTTCTTTATGTACTAATGATAATGGGGTCTCCAAGCTTTCCCCCAGTATGCTGACTCTCCTCTGGGGGCACTCACATCAACCAGTCTACACGTTCACCTTGAAGAGGTCTCTCCCGGGACCTTCCGCCTTCTTCACTCTGCACTGGTGACTCGCCTCCCACACCCCCCATCTTAGGACCTGCTGTCGCTGTCCCCTCACCTCTCTCGGGGGTCCCTTTCCTGATCCTGCGGCATACTCCCCCTTGGATTACTCTCTTTGAGCTGAGCAAATCCTCCAATGGTTTCTGAAAAAAATTACTGCTAAGGAAATAATTTGGGGAGATTTTGCAGGGTCTGAAAGTATCTTTGTTTTACCTAATATTTGACAACTACGCTGGGTATGGAATTCTAAAGTGGGAGTGATTTTCCCTAAGCATTCTGAAGCCAGCATTCCCAGGGTTGCTGTGGAGAAGCCAGACGCCATTCCTTTGTCTTTTCCTCTCTGGAAGTTTCCAAGATCTTCTGTATTCCAGTGTTTTGAAATTCCTTAGGATGGATCCTCAGTGTACCTTTCAAATTAGAAACTCAGGACCTTTAAATCTCAGAAATTATGTTATTTCTTTGATCTCGTCTGCTTTCTCAGTTTCTTTACGGCTTTTTTAAATTCAGGGACTGGTCCTCTGATCTTATATTTTCTGACTTATGTTTCTTATCTGTCTTTCTTCTTGTTCTTTCAGATATACTTCCTCAACTTCTAACCCTCCTATGGTTTTTCACTTATCCTATTATTTTAATTTCCAAGAGCTCATTTGATCTCTGAGCGTTCCTTTCCTCATAACGCCCTGTTCTTACTGGATGGGTACCGTATCCTTTAATCTCTGAGATCTTGATCATTTTCCTGATATTCTCCACCCCCTTTATGAGCTCGAATTCCTCCAAGTTAACTTTCCTCCCTTCTGTCTTTCACATTAAAACAATCTTCACGTGTTTGGTGGGACCTGGCTGCCTGCTCATGTTTTAGAGGGGAGCTCGAAGAGCTGGTTGGGAGCTCTGCGCGTGTGGGAGGAACTTAGCAGTGCAGGTTTCCCTTCCCTGCGGAGCAACCAGACTGCTCCCTTTTGTGGGGAAATCTGCAGTTTCCGGGTCTTTAGATCTCTTCTTTGAGGTTGTAGAGTCCCCAGCGTGTACAGGGCTGGCTGCTAGCACCATGCAGCTGAGTGGGACATTGCTGGGGGGCTGTGTGGCCCTTCCCTGAAGCTCGCTGTTCCCAGTGCAGTGCCCCTGCGAGCAAAATGCCCCCAGTCTGGACGCTTGTGACTCTTCCTGTCTAGACACTGGACCTCTGTGTGGGAGCAGGAAGCCTGGTGTAGCGAGCTGAATAATTGCTTCAACAACCTTTTAACCCGTGCTCCTGTTTTTATAACCCACTTTCACCCTCACTTCCGTCAGTACCTGGGGCCACTAGCACCCAGACTTCTTGGGGATTTCACAGCAGTGTAAGTCCAGTATTTCCATGTCATCCGAGCATTTGTTCCTCTCACGTCCTCAGTCATTTACCAGTCATCCATCAGCTTTCCAGCTTCTGAAATCTCGTTGCTGGCGACCTCTTCCTGTTTCCTTTGTCCTCGTGGGGTTATGCCTTCTTTAAAGGCTGTTGTCACAATAGGTCTCAGGAGTGCAGTTCATCCAGTCTGCACCTTTCACTCGCACACAGCACTTCCTTTCACACGGGGTCGCCGCCACACCTCTTCATTGCCATGGCTTCCCCGGCCGTCACTGCCAAGCCCTGTGGTCTTCTTTTCAAAAATCTCTTCCTAGGTTCTCACCAGATGGTGTCACCCATCTCACACTCACCCCAGTAGTTTGCTTTGACTCTTTGGACCCCAAATGAACCATTACATTTTAGAAATAAATAGTACTGAAAGTAAGTGATGTCAAAAAGTGGAGCTGATTATTCTCACAAAGAGGTTTACATACTAGGTAGGGCTCAACGGATGAGGCTAAGTTGGTTAAAAAAAAAATCTAAAAATCTAAAAGGAGACCCACGTGTTGATTATTTACTCTATGAACCCGTTTTGGGAACTTGACAGTAATATTTTTGTCCGTTTAACATTAAATTTCAGTAACATTTAATAAATATTTTTCTTAGGAATTCCTCGTGACTCCAGTTATATTCATTATTTTAGCAAACAAGCAATACTTAACACAGTTTTAGACTAACTCTTCCAAGCGTGGTCTTTGACTAATGCGTAGTCAGCTGAGGCTCAACAAGAGAGATCAGAGCTTACACAATGAGACCAGACGTAAATGATGAAAACTCAGAAGTAAATTTGTATCTGATCCTGAAATGTATTATAATAGAAGCACCTGATGTTTTAGAAATTCACTTTAAGCTCAATAGTTGAACCACTTTGAGAGCACCAGCCCAGGTAGGGCGCCGTGGGCATTCCCCAGCCGCCTCTGCCATCTGTCTAGGTCGCGATGGTCCTCGGTGTTCTGTTCTGCTCTGTGTCCTGAGGGAGTGAGACCCACTGCTTTCAGGAGCAATAGCTGACTCCTGCAGGGAGTGTCCTGAGGGTCAGAATCTGGGGCTCTGACAGGAGACAGTGGCTGAGGGCTTGAGCAGGACTCGAAATGACACTGGGTCATAGGAGTGAAGATAGCAGAGGCTTTTTTTTTCTCCTTTTAGTTTAGGTAAACTTTTTAAATTGAAATACTCATTGAGAAGAGTATGGGGATCATAACAGGCAGCTCACTGAATTGTCCCAGAAAGATCCACACCTGTGTAACCAGCACGCACGTGGAGACGCAGCAGAGCAGCGCCTCAGCCATCCCAGCCCCTTCAGCGCGGCTTTGCCCTTCCCAAGCGAGGCCCCACCATGGAGAGTTCTATCTGTGTTAGAGCTTTATATACTCAGGTGCTATCAAGTTTTTGGTGTCTGGCTATTTTCAGAACTCCAGCTTTTCAATTCTGTTTCAGTGTTCTGGTGCATGTTGGATTGAGAACACGAAAACAGGCAAGGCAAGCTTGCTTGTCTGTTTCAGTCCCATTCCATACTCCGGATGGTCTTTGAGCAGGACACTGGTTAAACGTTTGACTTTCCGAGACCACGTCATTGCAAGCCAAGTTAGGCGAGACTGAGTATGAAATGTCAACATAGGCAGCAATTAAAGGGTATTGACTACAGTGCACTTCACAGCAAGGTAATTCTTCCGTAGATAATTGGCTCGATCATACTTGCTAAACATTTATTTTGTTGCAAGTACTGAGCCTAGGCACTGCAGAAATGAGGTGAGTGGAACATACCTACCTACCCAACCCAGGCAAACATCCTAATTTGTATGAGACGTATCCATGGGGTATTGGTTACACAGCTCTGACTCGTTTCAACGACAAATTCCAGATAGTTTCGGGGTTTGAAACAAATCCGTGTCTATAAAATCACCCTGCCAGAACAGTCGGCTGTGGCCCAGGGGCCATACCTGCTACAGGGGCTCTGTGAACACAGGTTGGTCTTGCTGCATTTCTCCCCCGGGAAACCCAGTTTATGGCACATTATGTGAAAATGCTAAGTGGAAATGTTTGTATTTCCCCGGGCAAGCGAATTGGACTGTGGACATTTTTCGCTTGGGAGTAGATAGAGCTTTGGAGCATAGCGTAACTAATCGGCCTAAATTGGGCTGCTCTTTTAAATGCCGGGCTTCCGTGGGTGGCTAGTGTGGGCTCCCGGAACAGGAGGTCTTTAACAGAGTACCCCAGGATACATTTTTACATTTGTTTTTCTTATGTTTATTTTAAAACAATAAACATGCAAACACTTCAGACAGCTAGAGATGACTCCAAAATACAGTAGTGAGTCTGTTTGCTGTGAATCCCTCTTCCATTTATGACCTAAAAGCCCATATTTTTTCCTTGCCTTTATCTGTTTTTATGATGTCGATTGGAGTTGCTATTACTATCCTTGGTGGCATGGTTTTTACGTTCACATAGATACTCATCACAACCGGTGTGGAATGTAAAAACAAGTTCCAGTACAGAACTCAGGATATTCAAGGAAGGGAGCTTGTGCTGCATGGTCTCTGGCATCCGAGGTCTTTGAGAACTCTTTAGTGTATTACCTCTGTCATAAGCAACAGTGTCTATTGTGTCACTGTGTGTCTGCCATGCTGTTTGTTGGTAATCCATAGCATGAGCAACAGATAAAATACATTCGGGCCCATGACCTGCTGTGTGTCTATGTACAAGCTTCTTTACCTCTCTGAGTCTCAGGATTCTCCAGCTGGAAAAGGACAGTGACAATGATGCCTGCCTAGTGGGTTCTCATGAGACCAAACAAAGTAATGTGTGTGAAAGCATTTAGCACAGTGCCTGCCACGCAGCGGCTATACCATTCAGCAAACAGCAGCTGTTGTTAATATTGTCATCTTCACCCTGTTTCCTATGTTCAGGATGAAATTGATTCTGCAGTAAAGATGCTGTTATCTTTAAAAACAAGCTACAAAGCTGCCGTGGGGGACGATTACAAGGCCGACTGCCCTCCAGGGAACCCGGCACCTGGGGGTCATAATGACCCGGCAGCCAAAGAAGCTGAAGAGGATTTTGTGGACCCGTGGACGGTACAGACAAGCAGTGCAAAAGGCATTGACTACGACAAGCTCATTGGTACGTCCTGGGAAAAGCCCGAACTTTTAGAAGTGATTTCATTGAGATGATTACATGAATGTTTAATATTGAATTCATCATAAACCCAGTCAAGCTTCAATGCCAAGGAAAAAAGCAGGTCCTGAAATCTTTTGGTGGTGCGTTATATTCCTAAAGGATGATTTTTAAATAAAGTAACAATGTAAAACTGATTGCAAAATAATGATCTTCAGTAGACGGCTTAGTAGAAGCATGTTCCTTTTTTGAGCAATTCAGAACTTGGGAAAGGTCTATGGAAACGGGCACCTTTGCAGTCATTTCAATTGTCTTCGACGCTGGTTACAAATCAGTTATAGACGACTTAACGTTTCTCCGTTAGCAATACTGACCATGGAGCTAAAAGAGCTGGAAGTCGGCTTAAGAAAGGCGGCTCCTCAGGAGGCTCGTTATCGTTGCCAAGCCCTTCCTCGGGGGGCCTCGTGCTCAGGAAAGCCTTTACTCTGAGATCATTGCTAATTATCAAAGAAGAAACAGAACTAAAATGTTCTTTTCCCAGTCAAAGCCATTTTCCATGATTTAAGTATAGACTATCAATGAGGGACAATTCGCTTGAGGACAGGTGTTAATTCAGTTCAACAGTTAAAGAATATTAAGTATAGTTGTCATTGTATATAAATTAAATCTTAAGCAAGAAGCACGTGTGCATGTGTGTGTGCGTGTGTCAGAAGTTGCTAGCTGGACTGCATTCTGGATATGTTTCCCATCAGAATCTGATCCCAGACAAAACACTGTTTTAGTCTGTAATTTGTTTTCTGTTTTGCTGGCTGTGATCTCAGCTGTCACTGTTAGTTAATACAAAAGACACGGACTTTGCGTTGGGGGAAAAGACCCAGGACAGAAGGCCCAGAGGTGTTTGGGTTCCTCAAGATTGCGCGTGGAGCACAAGTTTCCCCCCTTCGCTTCAGTCATACCTGATCACCAGGCCTCCCACCATCTAAGATAATCATCTCTTCTTTTTTCCAATTTTTTTTGCAGTTCGGTTCGGAAGCAGTAAAATTGACAAAGAGCTGATAAACCGGATAGAGAGAGCCACGGGCCAGAGGCCTCACCGCTTTCTACGCAGAGGCATNCAAGCAGTTTGGGGGCAACTGCGACGTGGACGTGTCCTTCATGTACCTGACCTTCTTCCTCGAGGACGACGACAAGCTCGAGCAGATCAGGAAGGTGAGACGCAGCTCGTGTGCCAAGAAACCTCCTGACTAGATAGTTCACAGAGAAAAGACACACTGCTGTTCAGTTAGTAGCCACATGAAAGGGCTTCATCTTACTAGTCGTCAGAGAAATAGAAGTTAAAACACCATCACAGGTAAAACAGGGTCTAGTGTTGCTGTTGTGTTTGCAGTGATTGTGAACCAGGTGCTGCCAGCCCCCGGGGAGCCTGGGTTTGCACCCAGCCTCTCAGTGAGCAGCCGGGCCTCAGGTAGGAGAACCAGAGGCTATCCCAGCCTTTGCCTCGGGGTTTTCCAGTTCTTGGAATCTTTTCCAAGGAAGTAATCCTGAATAAGTTAGAGCTCTCCTACAAAGATGTTCAGAAGGATAACAGCAGGAAGCTCAGAACAGGCTTACAACAGAGCGAGTGTGAAGTACAAATTGTTCCAGGATGGGTGGTTGCGCTGCTGGTGGGAGAGTTTTGGTAACACGGGATAATATGCATTCCATAGTGATAAAGGACATCAAGTTGGAAATGCAGTGAGAACAGCTATGTTTAATACAGTGCACCGGGGAAAAATAGAAAACTATGCCCAGATGTTGACAGCGGCGCTCCGCCCCTGGGTCCTGGCCTCACGGGTGATGTTTGCTCATTACCGTGCTGCTGTGTCATGGTTTGGGCACTTGAGCACGTTTGTTCAATGAGTGTATTACCATGAGAGCATGGAAGCGACTCAGCAAAGATTTTATGGAAGCCAGTAAGGCGGGGCAGCAGCGGCATTTTCAGTGTGCTGGGGCAGCCCTCCCGTGGGCCCTTCCCCTGCGACAGGGCAAGTCGGCCAAACAGCAGGGCTGAGTTTCAGTCCCTTTCAGAAAAGCACAGTTTAAGGTCCAGGCTGTCGCACTTCTGGGCCCCTGGTGGGTGGGCCGCCTGCGGAGCTGTTTCTCACCTGGTCTGTCTCCGGACAGGATTACACCAGCGGGGCCATGCTCACAGGTGAGCTCAAGATGGCGCTCATCGAGGTCCTGCAGCCCTTGATCGCGGAGCACCAGGCCCGGCGCNAGTAAAATTGACAAAGAGCTGATAAACCGGATAGAGAGAGCCACGGGCCAGAGGCCTCACCGCTTTCTACGCAGAGGCATCTTCTTCTCACACAGGTCAGGGGCTTTCCGCCACAGGACATCTCACCCCTCTTCCTTAATTCACAAAATGATTAGGAGGCTGTGCCCTCAGGTTGCCTGGTGCTGTGGGAAAGTGGGGGCCGCTGTCAGAAGCCTCGGGTCCACCTTCTGCCCTGTCAGGAACTGGCTGTGGGACCATGTCCTTCCCTTCACCCCCCGACCCTGAGTTTATTCATCTGTAAACAGCCCACTTCACAAGGCAAAGGTTACATTCACAGCAGATGAAGTTCATGCCAGATTATGTACAGTAAGTTATAAAATGTCAGAAACACAAAAGGAACTACTGTGTCCAAGCTCAGCAGCGTTTCCCATGCGATAAGCAGGTGGCTTCCTGAAATTATGTGCTCTCTTCCTCCTATTGTACGGCCAGCTCATACAGAGTACCGAAAGAGAAACTAATAGTGTGTGCAAGGCACAGAATATGCCCGCCTTGACCATAAATGCTGTGCTGATGACATCAGAAAACAGGTTCTGCCTCCCCACCCCACAGAACACCTCAGGTTAGGGCTGGTCCATCTTCAAGGCCATGGTTTGTGGAATTTATGGTCCGAGGCAGGGTTGTCCTGTTCTATTCCCGCTTTCCGGCTCTGGGAGAACACACACAGGTCCCAAGTCATCATTCTGCCCAAACACTTCAACTTCTACATGCAGAGAACCCAGGCCCCACTCAGTCTTCTTTCTGGGCAGAATATAGTCAGAGCTCTTTCCTTACTGAGACTTAATTCACCTTTTTCACGTGCACAGATCAGTGGTTTTTGGTACATTCACCAGACCATGCAATGTGTGGCCTTTTGTGTCTGGCTTCTTTCCCTGAGCACCATGTTTCTAAGTTCCTCCATGTTGTTAGCAGGGGTCAGTGGGTGGGGCCATGGGACCTGAAGATTTTGGCCCTTCTCAAATTTGAGGATGCCCCTCTATCTAATTGGATCACCAGTAAAATAAGGGAGTAGATGAGTATAGCCCGCACTGTCTGGCTGCAAACAGGCACTGGGTCCTGACAGGACTCCCTCACCAGCTGTGCGAGTCCCTGGCGGAAAACATCCTCAAAGCCGAGCTCAGAGTGGGAGCGCCGGTCCGTTCCCCGCCCCCCTCAGGAGCCTGGGCCCAGGACCCGTGGGTGCTCAGAGACATGCAGAGGCATCAGGGCAGCGCATGGGGCGGCTGCATTCTGGCCTGGTCTGTGAGTCCATACAAGTTGGAGTTGGTTAGTTGTGAAAGCCGAAGAAGGACTCTTTTCCTCCAAATTAAGTTTCTTATTTCAGCAGTAGTGTGTGTTCATTCCATGGGGGGAGAAAGTCAGAGCTAAGCACAGCAGACAGAAGGCCCGTGTCCCTTCAGTCCAGAGAGGAGCACAGCTAACCCTCGGCTTGGGGTCAAAGCGGACACACATCAAGACCCTTTTGTGTGGGTGCTTCTCCCCAGACCTCCGGAAATGGAGGCTGATTCTCTTTTGTTTTGGGACACTTTGCCCAGAAACAAGAAATAGTCATACCCCACAGTGGTGGTTTTGCACCCTGTCACATGTCGCAGTCACCAGGGGAGATTTCTAAGCACAGCTTCCCGGACATCACGCCAATCCCGTGAGTCAGAGCCTCTGAAGGTAGGGTGTGGGCGGGTGCAATGTGGAACAGCGGCCAGGTGATCCTGAGGTCCAGCTGGGAAGGAGGACCCCCTGTGTGCATTCTCTGTGGACCTCAGGCCTAGGGGAGGGCAGATGATTCCAGAATGACTCCCAAATGAAGACAGCTGGTCCCGCCCCAGCTGAGGGAGCCCAAATCAGCTCTCCAGCTGCAGGGGCTGTACCTCTAAACTCCCAGGGCCGTTGCTCACCCCCCTCCCTAAGTCAGGACCATGGGGAACCCTCCCATTTCCCCAGTCGAGCTCGAGTCTCGGGGCTGCATGGTTCCATACAAGGATGGTGTGGTGGTGGCCTGCTGTCACACCCAGGACAGTGTGTAAAGCAGATGGTGCATCCACATTGATATCCGGAAGAATTCCAAGAATTCCAGTGGCTGCCCATCTTTTTTAAACACATTCTTCCAAACCTTCAGGTCTTATACTTTTAAAACAATCACAGGAGGAACCATTTCAAAGTAGACATTTCCTGTCATTTTTATAACATAAGCACCAAGAATAACAAACTAGTTATTATCCATGTTGTCTCAACATTTCCAAATGAGCATTAGCGCCTTGATTTTTTTTTTCTCAGAAAAACCCCACTGTTTCCTTTTTTTTTTTTTTTTTGCCTTTAGAGATATGAATCAGGTCCTCGATGCCTATGAAAACAAGAAGCCATTTTATCTGTACACGGGCAGGGGCCCCTCCTCCGAAGCCATGCATGTGGG